AGTAATAATCCTAATTAATTTCCTATAGCCAAATCCATAGAGTGTAACTAAACTTTCCGTTTATAAAATTAAAAAAAAAGAATATTTTACAAAGTGTAAGAAAAACTTCAATTTTATAATTTAGACGTTAATAGATTTAATATAAATATTTTTGGCCAAAAATATTCTTTAACTATACCCCAAACTTAAACTATATCTTTAAAGTATCATTTGTAGCAGAAAACATCCTTTTACTATACCCCAAACTTAAACTACATCTTTAAAGTATCATTCTTACTGAGACTGGGCAACGGAGCCGGACGTACCGGTACCGTTCCGATTCGTCCCATTTCGGTTGCATACGGGATGGGACGAGATAGTCTGAACCGATACACAGAACGGAATGAAACTGTGATTTGGTACCGGTGTACCGGTACCGCTTCATTCCGATTTCGTCTTGATCCGTTCCAATTTCCGTCCAGTTTAATTAATATATATTAATTAATTTATATTTTTTATTTTATATATATTATATTTATATAATTTATATTTTATATAAATTATATTTTATATAATTTATATTTTATATAAATTATATTTTATATTTTATATTTTATATTTTATATTTTATATAAATTATATACTAATTACTAATTACAAATTTTATTTATTTATATTACAAGACACAAGTTATAAATATAACTTATAAATTATAAATATTAATGAATAATAAATAATAACTTATAAAGTATAAACTTCAAAAGATTACAAGACACAAGTTATAAATATAACTTATATATTATAAATACTAATGAATAATAAGTAATAACTTATATAACTTCAAAAGATTACAATACACAAGTTATAAATATACTTATAAATTATAAATATTAATGAATAATGAGTAATAACTTATAAAGTATAAACTTCAAAAGATTTAAATTTTGAAAACTTTATTAGGCTTAACTTGCAAAATTAATAAGCAAAAAAATTTTAAAAAATATCTTTAAAATAAACTTAAGTAAAAAAATATATTATAAATTTAAAAACTATTAATTTAAACTTAATAAAATAAAAAAAATTATTCATATTTTCGTAATTCCAAAAAATCATTTTTGAAATAATTAGATGTGTCATCCCGTCCCGTTCCATTCCGGTCCGTTTCGGTTCCATTCCGGTATATAGTGGGACGGGATGGAACCGAGTATTCGTTCCGGTAATTCTGATTCGGTTCATCCCGGTACAAGTCAACGTACCGGTCAACGCGTCCCGTTTGGTCCGGTATCGATTCGTTCCGGTCCGTTGCCCACTCTTAATTCTTACCATAAAACATCCTTCAAGTATTTTAAAGTGAACAATTTTTATCCTTCTACTTGAATTTCTCGTAAAACTGTCCGATATATCCCACAAAAAAGTCGTCCCTTCCTAATTATTATCCTTAGAAATGCCAAGAATATTATCGTGAACTTTTTCGTAATTGAGTTCAGAATTATGCAAAACTTTTAATTTGACCGTTTTTCATTTATTTTTTATTTGATTTTAATTAAAAATATTATTGATTTAAATATATTTCTTCTCTATTGAATATGCTTGACGTTTATTGGAGACTTCCCCTTCTAATAATGTCAAATGAAATTCAACTACGAGACATGATCAATATTTTGGTCACTTCAATATTAGATTGACCTATCGTCCTAAGCTGAGGCATTTCTTTCTGACAATGCCTGTTACTGACTTTCCATTTCTCAGAAAAGTGTGGATTAATGACTGCCCGGAAATGAAGACATTTGTCCAACAGGGAATATCTGTGAGTACACCGAGTCTCATATTGGTGAATGATGATTATGAAGTGAAAGTGGACGATCTAAATAAATGGACACAACAGTGTTTCAATTCTAAGGTTTGTCTAGTACCGTTAATTGTATAACTAATTTAGGGCCCGTTTGGATGGGCTTAATAAAAGCAGTTTTAAAAAAGTACTTTTAAAAGTGCTGAAACTTATTTTTAAAATAAGCAGTTATGCGTTTGGATAAAAGTGCTGAAGTTGTTATGTCAAACGTGAAAAAGGAAAAATGAAAGAAAGAAATGTTAGGGTTATATAGGTAATTTGGAGATTGTATAAAAATATTAAGAGCAAAAAGATAAAAATGTGGTCAACTTAAAACAGCTTATAAGCTAAAAAAAAAACACCCCTACCCCAACTTTTAACTTTTGGCTTAAAATAAGTTTTTTTAACTTAAAATAAGTTATTTTGAATATTGTCAAACAGCTAAATAAATCAAAAACTAGCTTTTAAGTCAATTTAACTAGCTTTTAAGCTGAGCCAAACACGCTCTTACTCTAGTGCTATTTTTCCGTCTTAACTTAAAAGTAATATTATGATACTTATTAGTGTTTGTCAATTGAAGCAACTTCCTTCTACAATAATTTTAATTAGAAATCTGAAGCATTACTATTCTTTGCTCCCATGAACAAAAAGCTAGCCAAGGCACTACCAATGGCGACGAACCTGAAGCTATTGTTGGTGACAAAACTGTAGCTGTCGATGACTAACGAAAGGGTGAAACATGATTTTGGGGTGATGGTTGTTAGCATGATTTATGTGTTCAGGACCCCTCAATTTATGCCTTTTTTTTGGCAGCCTCGTGAGAAAAGGATGTTTTCAATTTCCCCACTTTTTTTGCTTTGTACCCCACCCACCCCACCTTAAAATTTAATTTCAATGACCAAAGAATCATGAACTTTATTGTGTTCACACTATTTGATCTCACTACTAAAACAAATGAGAAGTGACAACACCTTATTGTTAACAGTTTGCAAAGTGGAGTCTTTTTTTTTTAATGCTTTTTGATATTTCAGTGTCACAAATTGACACATAATAATAGAATGAAAAAAAACTAAAATACTTGTTACATGCTTACTAATACAAGGGGAGAGAGGGGGCTTTTCTGTTGATGATGAAATATGTGTAACAAAAGGAAACTGCAAGGCATACAACTTTTAATAGTTCATTTAGGAAGTCACTCAACTTTAAGTTGTTCACTTGAAAATCACTTAACTTTGTTTTATAATTCAAAAGTCACTCCACTATTAAAAGTTCACATAAAAAGTCGAGTAACTATTGATATTTTACTTAAAAAGCACCCAACTAATTCGAATTAATTTTTCATTAAATTTTGTAAAACACACAAAATTTAACTATGTAAAAAAAATAATAAGATGCTTATTTTAATTATTTTATTGAAGTATAATTTTTCTTTATAGCTTTTTTCTTTTTTAAAAAAAGGCATTGTGCTGCGTGTTTTTTTATTACATTTTCTCGTGATGTAGGTTCAGATTCTCAGCATCCAGATCACGTGTAGATCGATTTCTCGATTTCCAATTCAGCAGATTCAGTGGTCAGCCCTTATTTTCCATGGACAATAATCACGAGTTCATTTCAGTCATTTAGTTTCAGTTTTTGTTAGACTTAGTTGGGGCTTGTCCCAGTATTTCTAATCTAGTCAGAGGCTATTTTCAGGCATAGTTAGTTTTAGTTTAGTTGTGAGTTTATATTTTTCTTTGTATTAAACTCTTCAGTTTTCATATAGCTCAAATTTAGCATATGTGTATTTCCTCATCTTTTCATTTTAAATATGATTTAGCTTCCGCATGATCATGCCAGCAGGGTTAGCTTGGGATCTTGTGATCCTAGATTCCGTGTCCGCGTCTCGGAAGTAGCTCGAGCCGTGACAAAATAACTAACTCACTCCTTAACTAGTTGTTCACTAATTTCGCCGTATTGTTTACACGCATTTGGTTATGTTGGTTTGATAACATCTGTGCACATAATTCTTAAGTATTGTATAACTATTGTCATTCTGAACTTCTTGTAATACATTTTGAATTTATTTGCAAAAGTAGTTGGTTTGTGATGATTTGATCCTTGGTCTCCCGAGATCTATTTTCGCCTTCACTAATCACTAGGTCACAGTGTATCCTACAATTGAATTTAAATGAGTTCAAGAGCACGCGTCTCAATTTAACCTTAACAGTGTGAGGGGTTAGACTCGACCCTTATCATGTCTATAACATCCAAAAAATTTATAAAATCAGAGGGGACATGAACCTGACCTATGATAGAGAACAACGAGGATAATCTAAACAATCTATAAAATGGCTATAATGACATAGATTTTCATATTAAAAGCAAAATACAATGGTTCAGCTAAAAAAATTACTTTCGTATCTTTGGAGTATATTTTATATAATAAATAGTATATAATTTTGAAGCAAATCAACCAGGTTTTGGACCGAACCACGTTAAAATAAGCAGGTGTAAACGCGGAAGCTAGCAAAGCAAACCTCGAAAGACCACGAGTAAGAAGACAACGAGAAATATACCAAAAGACATAAAGATTTAACGTGGTTCGGTCAATCGACCTACGTCCACAAAAGAGATGAGCAATCCACTATAAACATGAGAGTACAAAATACAGAGGGAAACAACCTCAACCAATTCACTCGGAATACATGAGAGGTTCACAAATTCTCCCTCTAACCAAAACTCTCAAAGCCCTTAAAACTACATTGTGAATGCTAATTAAGTTAGAAGGAACATGCCTCTATTTATAGAGTCCTAAACCTTTTCCTACCAAAAAAAGAATAGTCAATTCAAAACCTTTTCCTAAAAGGAAAACCTATTTATGGTAAGAAATCAGGGCAAATAAAACCTAACATGTTTTACTTACATTGAAACTACTGAAGAAGTTCACACCGTAACTACTCATCCCAAGCAATGTGAAATAAAATAAAATATTTTATGAAGCATTTTCATCTACTGAAAACTAGTATAAATTTAATCTCAATCTTAATCATGCACCTATCCAATTTGTTATTATTATTTTATCCTACCTCTCAATAAACCAACTACAGCAAATAGCAGATTTTCTCTCTCTCTCTCTCTCTCTCTCTCTCTATATATATATATATATATATATATATATTAAAAGATCAGAACCAAAAGGACAAAATTCAAAAAGTTATTGCTTTTTAAATAGTTAGTTGGTTAATTGTAATGATCTATCATTTCTTGTTCTCTACTTGCTGTTTTGGTCAATGATGTTCTTATCTTGATTGCCTCAAAAGGGTGCTGCTGGTTTATAAATATACCAATTGATGGCTGAAATAGGGAAGGCTTTGACAGGATATGTAGTTGGAGTGATTGTTCTAGCTTTTGCATTATTCGCGTCTGCTGAGCGAATAGCAAATGATGGAACAAGTGATGATTTTGAATCAGGACTATTTAAGCTTCTGCTTCACAAGGCTAAAATGCATTACCAACATTTTTGGCCTGTAAGTACACGTAAACATCAACTTCTTTCGTTAGGATTATTTTGTTTAATTGATGACTTGAAGGTTTAGCCGTTTATGTGATATTGTTGTAGATGTTATTACTCAAGTGTGATGTGTATTTCAGGACTTGGAATTTGGGTGGAGAGTAATTGTTGGCTCTGACATCGGATATTTTACTGTCGTCTTTGGGAGTTTTGGAGATGATAGGGGAAATGGTATCTTTGTTCCCATGCTTATTTTGATCATTGGATTTGATCCAAAAACATGAACTGCAATTTCAATATGTAAGAATCTATGCTACATGATTTCTTGTGCTAATGCTTCTTGTTTCACTTCACTGTGTATGTTATCGTTGTTGTTGTATTCTGTTTTCTTTGTCAGGTATAATAACAGGTATATCAGGGGAAGCTGTGTTGCTATCCAATACTTGACCATCCCGTCACCGATTCTGATCTAGCACTTCTTTTAACACCAATGCTGTTACTAGGGATCAGTATTGGTGTTGCTCTTAACGTTATTTTTTGCTGAGTGGATGATTATAGTTATGTTGATCATTCTTATCATAGGTAATGATGATTCAGCTGTGATTCCTACCCATATTATCGATATAGTTTTTCTGATTGATTTAAGGGACTTGTAGTTACATCAACTAGGTCATTCTTCAAGGGTGTTGAGGAATGGAAAGAAAAAAACAGAATGCATAAGGTTAATCTCTTTGAACCTTCTTTCTAAATTGTAATGTGCATTAGAAATTGTGTTTTTCATCCCAGTGAGTATTTGTCACGACCCAAGGTACAGCCTAGGCATAACATGGCGTATAGAACCCCGAGAGATCCTACACAAGCCACTTAGCATACACTAAGCAAGATAATAGAAATTCGAGAGAATTTAAAAGACAATTCATATCAAAGAGTTTCATGAAATAAAAGTAGCAGTCTATATAGTCTCAAAGCCATCTAATACATCAAGAGTGATCAGGATGTAACCCGTACATCACATATAGTCTCTGATAAAGAAAATACATAAAGCAACAAAATGATAGTCGTCCTCAAACAATGAGGACTCACCAAGTCTTCGAATGCACCAAGTATAGCTACTAGCCACGAGTGGAGGCAGAAGATTCAACACGCCCTACATTTGGGGAAAATGTAGTCAAGAGTATGCGTTAGTACAAATATGTACCTAATATGATACCAATGCTAAAAGTTATGTAAATCAGGCTTAACGAATATTTTTATGGTATGCAAAGACCAAGTTAAACATAAGGTAAGAATATGAAAATATGTAGCATAATCATGGTCAATGCAAATAAACATCGTGTTTAAACACTTGTGAGCTTAAAGTAACCTTAGTTCATTATTAAGGGAGATTTACCTTTTATCGACACAGAGACCATGTGAGCTAAGACATGGAATCCGATGTCTACCCCACACAGAAAAGAGGTGTTCCTGCTTACCAAGGCAAGAATTACCATGAACTTCTAGCTTACGTGGATTCAGTAGCTAATGTTTATCTAGACAACCTATGGTGGCACATAGTTTATGGAACATGGTTAATCGCCACTTATCCACTCGGTCCTAAGCATAAATCCCACGGAATCTTGATTAGTCTTATATTTTCTTAACATTCATGAGGCATGAGTAATCGCCTCTTGTCTTATCATTGGAGGTCATGGGTAATCACCTCTTGCCTCACCATTAGAATAGCTCCTTAACATTGGTTCATTTTAGGTGAGAAAGTCTTTCAACCTTAAGAACCGAAAATCCTTTTACAGTCTTACTTTCATGTGTATGTGAGAAATCCTTTCACAAAAACAACATGGATGCTTCACTCTCAAAGCAATTAATCTTAAAACATTTTCATCAATACATATCTTCATACTTTCATGAGTTCAAGGATGGTTCACTAACCGTGGACTCTTTCACCGTTCTTGAACCCTTCCTTACAAGTCCTTTTTTTTTGAGGTGTTACAGTATTGGAACATAGAACCATATGAAGAATAAGAAGACGAAAATGAACGTAAAACTGCAACAGATGCTGGTGCTGAAGATATTATGTACAAACTTCTACCTAGAGGTCCAAGAATTAGAAATGAAGAGGTGATCACTTTCATATTTGTCGCTATCAATTTACTTGACTACCTATATGGTAAATGTATAATTTTTCATAAACAAGCATTACCTCAAGTTATTTTGAAGTTGATGTGCCTTTCTCTATTGTTGTGTGGGTCATTTTCCTCGTTCTGCATATCGCTAAGGTTTATTTCTTTAAATTGCTTGTCTGTTTATAATACCTTTACATTTTCAGGACCACCTTCTGCACTATTAACTTTCTAACTAGAAGCTATGTAACATTTTTTTTGTACAGACATAGACATCAACTTGTTCAACGACATATTGGATCTTAAACCTCTTACAGGTACTTATTGTTTGAAATGTAAACTATACTGTCCTGTTCCTGCTTGGTATTAGCTTCTTCATATTCAAGAATATTCGTTTTCAACTTTTCAGGTCCCTGTTGCTGTCGGAGTTTGTGCATATGAAGCAGTTTGCTTGTATAACGGAAGAGGGTGGTTATGTCAAGTGGAAAAGATGTAATATCCGTGTATATGGGAAACGGGGTGGTCATGTCAAGTGGCGAAGAAGTGATAACCTGGAAAGTGCATCCGTTGATTCTTTACTGTTGCTGTGGCTTTTTAGCTTGGTGGTCTTTTAGGTCTTCATGAAGGATTCTGTAACGACCTGTTTAGTCGTTTTGAGCAGTGGAGTAATTCTGGTAATAATTGTATGAGTCGACGGATCCCACGACGGACCGTCACAGGCACGACGGACTGTCGAGGGTGTGTCGTTCCAAAACACTTAGAATTCTAAAATTTGGGTACTGAGATCGACTCTCTGAACTTCGCGACGAAATGGCAGGACGGACCGTCGTAAGCACGACGGACCGTCACAGAGTCTTAAATAAAATCGACTCTCTGAACTTTGTGACGGAAGCAGCAGGACGGACCGTCGCAGGCACGACAGGCCGTCACAGCCTGCGTAACCCTGCCTGGGTCGGATTTCTGTTAAATGTTTAAGGGGCGTTTTGGACTATTCCTGCTTATAATTATAAAGTTAGTGGGTAATAGTAATAATTCAATTACTTGAGGCTTAAAGGAGATAACCTTGAATTAATTAGTGGGTTACTTTTGTCATCTTTTATACTTAATTATATGCTAATTAGGGTAAAAGAAAAAAAGGGTTTGAATAAGAAAAATAGAAAGAACAGAGAGAGGGAGAAACGATCGATCAAGAGGAGAGAACGAAGAAGAAAGCAAAGCATTGAAAAGTAGATACTTGATTCGAATTCTTCGGTGGAGGTAGGTTATGGTTTTTATACTATTTCATAGTAAACTCCTAATAGCGAATGATATGTATTGGGTAGTATTGAAAACCCTTCTATATGCTTAATTGTATGCTTGCATGATGTGATTATGTAATTGTAATGGGTTGGAAAAATAAGGTTGTGAAGCTTAAACCTAAAACCCTCTTCGTTAATGATGATGCCTTGGAATAAAAGAAGGCTTGATGAACTAAAAGAATGGGGTTAGGGGATCGGGTGTCACGAACCAACACGTAGTATTAATGGATCGGCTGTCACGAACCGACACGTAGTATTAGAGGGATCGGGTGTCACGAACCGACACGTAGCAATAGGGGGATCGGGTGTCACGAACCGACACGTAGTATTAGGGGGATCGGGTGTCACGAACCGACACATAGTATTAGGAGGATCGGGTGTCACGAACCGACACGTGGTATTAGGGGATCGAAGTGTCACGTTCCGACACCAGGATAGTAAAGAGATTGAATCTTGAATTTTGCTAATATACTCAGATTTAATGAACCTATTTCCCAAATGAGTATGGTATGGAGGCTTGCGTCCTCATGGGTGTACTTTGCGTTATTATCAATGATTCTTGTACTTGTTGTTGCTACCTGTTGAGTAATATAGTTGATTTTATGATATTATCTGATATATACTATTTTCTATTTTGAGTTGGCCGATGATATCTACTCAGTACTCGTGTTTTGTACTGACCCCTACTTGTATGTTTTTCTTTTTGTTAATTGTGGAGTGCAGCAAACGTACCGTTGTCTTCAACTCAACCGCAACTCTAGCCAGTCTTCTTTCCGTCAGATTTCAGGGTGAGCTATTGTTTCTAGCTTGGACTGGATTCTTCTTCTTCACGTCTTGATGCCTTGAAGTTCTGGCATGGACTAGCTGTTTATTTATGTTTAGTTTCTTAGATACTTTTAGTCTTAGTAATTTGAGGATAGATGATCTTGTGATGATGACTTCTAGATTTTGGGGATAATGATAAGTTTTGAGTTTTAGAAGTTGATTATTGATTTTGTTAATGAGTTTTAAGTCTTCCGCATTGTTTTCTATTTATTATGTTCGAAATGTTGGAGTTCAGATTGGTTGGTTCGCTCACATAGTAGGATAAGTGTGAGTGCCACTCGCGGCTCGTTTTGGGTCGTGACAGATTCTTTTTGGTTCCATTGTTTCTACATCTAGGGATTTTGCCTAGGGTGCATCTTTCGTTTCCCCTGATCACTAGTTGTTCTAGAAAGATCAGTTATTTCGACTTCCAAGTTGCAACTATTGACACATTGCAAATGCAGGTTTCTATCACCACTGCTAACTTTTATGATGATATTCTCCTCTTCCATGTCTGTCATACAGCAATACTTACTAGGACACTTTCCAGTACCATAGGTAAGGAAGGACACAACTTGAAGATCTTCATAGGTTTTTATCGTTGATTTGAGCAATCATATATTCTATCACTGTATTTCGTTGCTGTGACCACTGTTGCTGCCTTGGTAAGAAGCATTGTCAGACATAAAATAGTTAATAGAGCATCTTTATTTTGTCCTTCACAATCTTTGTTGGCACAGTCTCATTAGGCAAGTTCCTTCTCTTTTCATTTGTTTACATATATTGAGCTATAATATCGCGTAGCAATGGACATTCCTTAACTGGTTGTGTGACTGATTTCATTGTATTGTCCTCACGTATTTGGTTACAGGTGGTGTAAAGCATAGCAGACGCGATTAAGAGGATCAAGGAGGGGCAGTGTATGGGGTTTGATAAAATCTGTGCATATAAGCCTTATGTTTTGTGTAAGTAGTGTTTTTCTGGAGTGATTTTGATTTTATTTCCAAAAAGAAGTTGGTATGTGATGGATTTGGTTCCTGTAATTTGTAATGCATGGCAATAAGTTACAAATTCGTGTTCGTTTTTCGCCATGGTGTGGTCTGAGGAGAGGTAGAAATAGACAAAAACACCTCATGCAGCTTAATAAGGACACAACTGTAGCTGTCAATCAACTCGGAATGATAAACAACGCGAAAGATAGACACCACCGCCAGACCATTTCATCTCAGAATTTAAGACATGCACAAAATTTGTCAAACATAGAACAGGGAGGTTGGAATTCACATCGATTATAGTGAGTTCATCAACACATCACACAAAAATTAACGCCAATATAGAATTATTGATAGTCAAAGGCACCACAATACAGGTCAGTATATATTGGAAAGGAGCAAGTGCCCCGGTCCTAATTCATTCAGTCAACAGAGAAACATCCCAAAAGTTAACAAAAACGTAACACTATTTGAACTTAGAACAACACCAAACCAAGCCATGGATAAGGGCTTTTTAATACTAGGAGGAAGAATATCACATCCTCACTTCTTTCCGCTCTTTTTCAAGCCAGTACCGCCAATGGACCCTTTCTGAGCCTTTGCCTTGAGCTCCTTCAGGGCCTGCAACGTCACAAAGATGAGTTAATTTGAGTCATAATGATTGGTCCTATAACAAGCTGCAATAACAAGAAGATGATTTACCTTTTCTTCTTCCTTCTTCTTTGCAAGAAAAGCCTTGTCATTCTACAGATAAATCAAACGCGTACAAGTTAGAGCCAGCAGCAAATATCACATGTAAGGCTCATGAGCCAGAGACTGAATTAATCTAGTGGATACCAAATTCTGAGCATGAAGCATAATCCAAAACAAAGGTTTCATTATTAGTCACCCGTTCTCCCTTATTCATAATAACTTCGATACCAAAGTTTGTTGCAACAAATAGAGAATTTCTGAATGTGTGACCATCTAAAGATATATTCCTCAAAATAGCCAAAGAAATTGCATAACAATCTAGTCTATTAGCTTCACTGATCTAGATATGTCACTGACGGTATATGGAGCGTTGATAGAACTGTGACATATCCACCCTGCTCTGCACCCATCAATTAACTACGACTCAATTCCAAATCAGTTAGGTCAACCTATATGAATCTCCTATTCCGCTCACCCTACCCCACACCCACATCAACAAAAAAGCATCGCAGTCCTACTGAAAACAACAAAAACCTCACACAAATTCCCCATGATTTTGTTGCTATTTTTTTCCTTTGATGTTACCTTTCCTCCTCATTTATTTTCAATTTTCGAAGTGCTTCCCCAAGCTAATAATAACCTTTTTTTAATGCAGATACAAAATATACCTACAGTCTAACAGCATGTTTCTTGTGCAGACTGTATCCCTAACCAACCTCCCTCTTGCTATCTATAGGGCTAAGGCATAACTATAACAATTCGAAGACCGACAGTTTGTCTTCCTTTCAGTTAAAATTGTCCAGCAGTATATTAGTGCTGGTTTTTGTCATCAAGAAAATTATTCTGATCACTTACCCCAGAAAAGGAACAGAAAATTCAGCTGACACGCACGCGCAATTCATCACCCACAAATACAGACTATATCTAACCAAACAAAAGGCCAAATCACCATCGAAACAAAAATTGTCTATTAGCAACAACGTATCGACCCCACAAAGATAGGATAAGGTTTGCGTACATCCTACCCTCCCCAAACCCGCCCACCCCCACTTGTGAGATTGCACCAGATATATTGTTTGTTGTTAATATATTGAATATACGAATTGTAATTAAAACGCAAGATCTACAAAATAACAGAAGAATCTATACAAACAAACATCAGGTAAAATTATCACAAAAACAAGATATTTCATCAAATTACCTCATCATACTCCTTCTTTTCAGTCTTTGGTGCCTTCAAAGGCTTTGCTTTTCCACCTATTCAACAAAACCAAAAATCAATATACTTCTTATAGCTTTTCTTACACCCTTTTGAAAAAAATCAATCCCCAAATCAATTAGGTCAACTATAACCACAAAAAAATCAAATCTTTTGACAAATTATATCAATACCAACATAACTCTACAATAAAACAACAAATTTTTTTCAAAAAAAAATCAAATCTTTCAAAAACTATATAGGATTTGTTATACAACGAAAAAAAATCAAATCTTTACCTTGCTTGGAAGACATGGTTGATTTTTAGGGTTAAGAGTTTGGATCTGTTGATGAAAACTCTCTCTCCTAACCCAAATAAGCTTTTTTTTGTGAAGTGGCGTTGGAATTTTGATGGATAGTGCCAAAATTTATACTAATTTTTTTTTATTTGTATTATTGGAGTAGGAATAAAAGTAGTGATGTTTTACTATTTTATTCTCTTTGTTAAAGAGTGTGAATATGAGATTTGAGGGGTTTTTTAGGTATTTGAATGAAGGAATAAGCCAATTGGAGAGGTATAACATTATTCCTTTGAGCAACTTGCCTCCTCTAGTTTCTGTTATTAACTTTGGCACCTCGATTGATTTCACGAAATATTACTTTTCATTTTTTAATTATTTGTCTATTTTAAAATTAACGAATCTATTAAAGTCAATTACTCAAGGGAGTATTATCTTGAATAATAAATTTAATATTTTACTTTTATTAATTATAAAGTAGATAAATTAAAAAATTAAGATTTTCAAAAAGTTCTATATTTTTCAAAATAATTAATGATGCTATAATAGGTAAGAATATTTTGTTCTTTTTTTGTTAGTCAAAATGGATAAGTAATTAGGAACAATTTAAAAAAGAAAAATGGACAAGTAATTAAAGACAAAGTGAGTAGTTATCTCTCGTAAACAATACGTATCAGATAATATTGTTTATCAAGGATAGAACTGTCAATATGGGTTAGCCACCCCATCCGGGCTAACCCATACAGGCTTCGACATTTTACGGGTCAGGCCGGGCTAGCTCATTTTTTGTGTGCGCCAAAAAATGGCCAGCCCAACCCACAAGTAAGTGAGCTACAGGTTTGCCGGGTCAGTCCACTTTTTAAAAAATTATATTATTTTTTAGAATTATTAAATTATAATTTAAAACAAAACAATATTAGATGATGTTAATGTTACTACTTTTCAATTAAATCCACAAATAAAATTATCTTTATAAATATTTATTAAGTTTTTTTCAAGTAAAAATATAAATATCTAAATAGAAATATAAACCTAATTGTTTTGAGTTTGAATTCTCTTTAATTTTAAATTTTAATATTATATTATATTTTTTAATTAATTTTTATTGGCCCACGAGCCGGCCCTATCAATATTTCTCGAGTCCCACAAATTAGGAGATTTATTCAGGCCGGGCTAAAAAGTCATTTTTCTCAAATGGATTCTAAAAATCGTAGTCAGCCCTATTAAATCCCGAGTTAGGCTAAAGCAATCCAACAGGCCTAGCCTATATTGACGGCTCTAATCAAGGATAAGATAGATGAAAAGAATCACCTAGTATTTTCTTCTTCTTCTTTTCCACTTTAATCACTTATTACTCAACTATAATATTATTTAGGATCAATCTATAATTTACAAAAAAAAAAACGTTTCTTTATATATTGATTGCATTAATTAGAATAATATTTGATTCTTGTTAAGTTTGTAGGAATTTAGGCATAAAAATTATTATAATCTAATCTAAAACGTATATCATTCAATACTCATTGAATCGTTTAAATTTAAGAGCATGTTTAACATTATCTAGGGATGGAAACGGGGGTGATGTAGGGTGGGAGCGGTGCTGCTTGAGCTTAACCCGCAAAAATTTTAATTTGCTTCGCTCTGTATAACATTTTTTTTCATTTTCAACCTGCTCCACCCCGCTCACATAATTCATTTAGTAATTTTTTCTAGTTGTGTTTGATATTAAAAATAAAATTGATAAAAATAATTTTTTTTTTCATTAAGTTGTATTAATTCAATAGGATAGTGACTTAAAATTTTATTTTTTAGAGTCAATTGGGAAACATATAAGAAATTGTATTATTTTCATTGAACTATTTCCATTTATTATCTTGAATATTTTAATAGCTTTAATGAAATTATCTTGATAAATGATGTTCTATCACTCTTGTAATATGTAAAACGTAAAATTGAGTTTAAACCCACATAAAATCATATATAATCGCAACCTATCTTGCCCGACATTAATTTTAAAAAACCCCACTTCAATCCGCGCAACCTTAAATTCAGCTCACTCCACATAGCCTTAGATCCACCACCTCGCATCTACCTCATCCCATTGTCATCCCTAATGCTATCGCCATCAAAGAATTCAAAACCATATATTCGTTGTGATACTATGGAAAAAAATCACCATACTTTTAATTCTAAGTATTAACAAATGAATGAAGTGGGTGTTGGACTATGATTCACTCTTCGTGAAGTCCTTACTCCCATACAATATTGTTAATCCTAATTCTTAGATAGGAAACTTACATAAATATACTATAACAAAAAATATTTATCATTTATACTAATAATATGTTTTTTTACTTATTTATTTTTAATTTATTTATAATACAAGTTTAATACATATTACAAAAGAACAATTTATTATTCACATATAATACAAATTTTAATGATAAATAATACATTTATCACACATTTTAATACACTTATAATACGATGTGACAATATTTTACCAAACAAACATGATACATTTCAAAAACCAATTGTAATTCATATATATTGCATACATAATTCACTTTTAATACATATTACAGATTTAACAAAGCATTGCTATAAATGATAATAAACAAAAAATATTACTAAAATCAATAGTTATTTTTTAAAATGTATTATTTTATGTAATTTTTCCTTTCTTAGATTGTCAATCAACGTTCTCCAATGTCCATCTTGGCCTAACCAAGTTATTATTGGGTCATTAAAATTGGTCTTGTTAATACTTTTATATTATGGGCTTTAAGTTGATCCAATTAATCATGTCCATGAATTTTGAATGAGCCCAAAAAAAAAAAGCCTCATACTTCTTCGGATACGTTAATGACAATTTTGACTTAACAGAAAAATGAGAGATTTTAGAAATTTATAAAACTTATAAGGAATAATAGTAATAAGTAAACTAAAAGGTGGGATTTCTTCAATCATAAATAAATTATAGATTTTGTTATAATACATTGAACCTATTAAAAACAATCATCAAATTGCAATACGTGAATTAAGATTTTAGCTAAAATTTAATTTAAAAAATAATTAAATTACTTTTACAACTATATAGAAGAGTCTAGGGAAGTAGTAGCATGCTTGCTTCCCTAACCACTGACAATATGGATACTTTCTTAACATTTTCTTAATTTCATGCTTTAAATAAGTTGTACTTCATTGTTTTAGAACTGCACTTTCTTAATATGACCAACACTTTCCGTTCGCAGCCAAAATATTGGTCC